AAAAAAAAAAAATATATATATATATATATAAAGAAACCAATTGAAAGAAAATAACCACCTTAGAAGAATGAAGGGTCGCAACAATGAGAAGCAGCTAGGGAATCATTCAAAAACTGTTCAATTTTTTGACTCGTTGCAAACCGATTGACCGATTTTCTTCTAAGCGGCTAAAACTTTCTCCTCGACGTGTGAGCAAACTCAACACAACGTGTACGTGTTGTGTACACGTTGGAAGGGAGTGAAATATTTGAAACTACACATCTATATACTGATATTGCATAATGTCGATTAACTTGTAGATACAAGTGATTTATTGGCTCGATTAGACGCATATTATGTTTGTTAAACATTCTGAGATTTCACTGATCACGTAAAATGTATGAGTAAAGTATTTGAACGTTTAAATGCTGGCACCTGATGCAACAGATAATAATCGAATCTGACCGATCCTAATGAAATCTCGATATATTTATGCAACGGATATAGCATGTATTCGTAAAAAAATTTCTATGAGTAAATTCAAACTGTCAGAACACTGAGCTAGCAATTTCCTCTTTCTCAGTCGGTAAAAATGTCCATTGCTCCGAGAAAGTATTCCAACGGGACACTTGTTGTTAATATTCGAATTCGAATGATGAATATTCAACAATCGAGCGCACTGCATGTGAAAGATACACAGAGAAAAGGATCTACAAACAACAACGATACAGTTAAATGATATAAAGCAATTTAAAAGGACGAGATGCAACACTGTTTGCACAGATTAACTTAAAGTCAGCATTACCTAATGCAAATCGTACCATATGACGATATGTTTGCTCGGTGGGATCTCGTGGGATTTGCTTGACCGATTTCGTTCTAATATTTCCACCATTCGTCGTTCTTCGTGGGCAATGTTCGTTAATTAAACTCGCGCCGGATAAATAAATTAAATCAAACCTAGCGTTCTCTGTCTGTGTGTGAATCATTGAGAAACGCGATCTTATTGTATGACTAATCTTTGTTTAACATACGTGTCACTGAATAAAGTTTCGCGAAACAATTTATAAAGTTTCGTGCACGTTGCAAACAAAAAAAAAAAAAAAAAAAATACCAGCTAGAAACAAACGGAAGAGTGGATGACAAAGATTAATTCCTCGTTCAACGGACTTAAATTTTTTAATATTTCTCGAATTTATTAATCGGCCAATTATCGGCACAATTCCAACAATTACGAAGAACAGAGGTGTATAGGAAAACGAACCAATGGAGGTAGAGAAGAAAGGAGGGAGTAAAGAGAGAGAGAAAGAGAGAGAGAACGGCAAGCGAATGAACGCACTACACATTCAGAATTTTCCATCGAAAATCAACCAATGTATATTATATGTACATATAAATCTTTTCTTTTTTTTTTTTTTTTCCAGGAACACTCCGAAATGCCTCACTTCTTGCTCAAGTCTACAGGTGTAGGCTGTTTCCAACTCGCACGGTTATTAAGCGAAATGAAGTATCGAGTAAACGAATACGTTTGCTAGCTAATTTATCTATCGTTGTCCGTTTAAGACACACGACAGTAACGAGGAAGAAGGGAGGCCAGTAGTCGAGCCGGCTGACTGTGTTTGCTGGGGCCTTTCTCACCCGACGGAGAGGTGAAAGAGAGGATGGCAACAGAGAGAGCAGCTGCCACTGAGAAAACGGACGGTTACCGAATGATTTCAACTACTGCCGACTTGGCGTTTCTTGCCCCGTTGCTCGTTTCTTTGCTACTTTTCTCTATTTTTTCTTCCTTTCTTTCTTTCTTTCTTTCTTTCTTGCACACGAGCGATTCTCCCTTCCATAAAAATGCTTCTCCCATCGGTGTTTGTTTCAACAAAGAAAATACTCGCACGTCCCGTAAACTTTAATACTCGGTGCTACACACGCTCGAAGAACAAAACGCACGAAGAACGAAGAGCGTCGTACGATTTGAACGAATTTTCAGTTACGAAAAAGTACGGAGGAGAATGCAGAGGAAGAAAATGATCCGAGAAGCGAATGGTATATTTGCTAATAATCACCAACTGGTTACCGTCGGTAGCCATTTTAATCTCAACGGTAGCCAATTTGCAATCTCAACACGGGAACACGGTACCTCTATGCGAACCGGGAAACTTGCCTGACGTTCCTCAAGCAGAAGCAACTGTTACAACTCGTTACAAGCGACGTTCCTCGCAAGAAAGACACTGTATGGCTAACGAATGTAACCGCGACGGCCGTCGCCCACGAAGCCACCGCTAACGCTACCGACTATGCGCCCAATTTAACTACTGCTAACGATGCTACAACACCGAGTTTTTCATCATTTTTGAGTGAAATACTTGGTGCACGATATACAGGTGAAAGATGTAAAACGACTGAATTACGTGTCTAAGTAGACAGCGAGGACACAAGTTTCTCGAAACCCGACGGGCAGCCATCTTGGGTAGGCACGGCCAACTCTCGGTTGTTTCGCACAATTTTTCGCGCGTAAGAGCAACGTTTCAGCCGCAACATCGTGCTGTCTAGTTTTCCGAACGAACGCCTGGCTAATGGACGGCATTCGGCTATTCACTTGTTCGGGCATAGCATGAAAAGAAATATAAAGCGAGGAGAGACACTGCGTATAGAAGATTATCTCCCTCTCTCTTTTGCACTCTATTGCACACTCACTCTCTCTCCCTCTCACTCTTTCATGAGCTGGCGGCCCGACCCGCTGGCCCGTATGCGTCTGGTGATGATTCGCGTGGTTCTCTTACAAGATTTAACGAGAGACTAATTGTTTTTACCTGATCGCGGTAATTCCATGTAGTAAATCCAGAATGAAATGCACAGAGATCACTGGATACCGTTGCACGGGATATTTAATCACGATTACCAATTATCTTGCGACAACGGCGTCACATTTCACACAAATCAACAAAGGTTACCCACTTGACAAAGATGGCGTTTGCGGGGGTTACACACAGCGCGCACGCGGTGGGGAGCGCACTGCGCACACCGCGCTCACTGTTACGGCGGAATCACGAAACAGTTGTAGCAGCACACGTTTTCCTCGACCAATCAAACCGTCCACTTTGACTCGTACACTCTTATTACCGGTTACACGTGCGTCGCTTTTCGTCCGTTTCCTACCGCGCGCGCACACATGCGCATCACTTTTGTATATCTACATCATGTCTCATGGGATATACATCACGAATAAAACCTTACAAGCGCGGGAATATAAGGTGTACAAACTGTGATGGAAATATTCAGACCAGCCCAATATCTGCATCCCTAGACCTAATGTACATCTATCTATACGATATCATTCTATTTCCTTCCCTGCAACATTCCCTACAACTATTTCATATTCCTACCTTCACTATGGCCGTCGCTTGCTTTACGCTCACTTTACCATTCCCAATCAGTTCTTCAACACTATACGCGCGCGTCTGCTACATGACGCTGTGAAGTACAGAAGCTTTGTCAACGAGCTTCCAGGACCGTACCTTTCCATGTTCGAGCCACTTATCGTAAAAATTATTAACGACATACTTTTCAGACCACTGTTTCTGTTTTGTTTTTTTTGTGTGTGTCACACGTAAATGTAACTTAACTTCTTTCGATTTAATGCCGTTTATTTCTTTTATACATTTTATTAATTTATACGCAGAATGAATAACAATATAATCAATTTACATTTTAACCTACCACGGAAATGTATATGTTACCGACTTATGAAAAATTGAAAGAAATATCTAAAGATTCTGTGATCTTAATTGTAATTGTGTTTTTCTTCCGCCTTTCTGTTTTTCTAATTGATTAGATTTAATATATATATCATAATTTACTAAAGAAACGATTGATTTTTTTCATGATCCACGTCCTATGTATGCATCTTCATCTTGCTTCGTAATTTCTTACACATGTATCTATAAATACCGATGCAGCGTATTTTTTTTTAACTGTTTCAACAAGTGCGCTTATATATGACAATATCAAAAAGACAATTGCACGCAAGTGATTATACATTAAATTTCTCACATTTTACAGATTTCTATCAATTATTATAACGATACAATTGACAAGCAGTGTAATAATAATATAATTTAAAGATTCGTATATTTAGAAAATAAAGTGTTATTTTCCTAATAATAATAATAATTGCATATGTTTTTAATATTTTTATTATTTTTGTCCTTGTGATTTTCATTATAAGAGAAATAATACGTTTAAACGTAGATAGGTATAAACTAATTTTGTGACTCTAGAAATCGAGGTAAAAAGTTGTTAAATAATTTATTAAGTACAGAATTTACAATTACTAACTGACTTAAGTATGATCAAGGAGTGAAATCAGGTTTCCCTTCATAAGTACATCCAGATCTTTGTATAATTTGAGTTGCAGTCCAAATTCCACATTTTATACAAACTTCTATATTTCTACTTTGTATAAGTTGTGCCAAAAAACCTGAAAGAATAACAACATGTAATACCTTTTAAGCAAGTTATTAACTTTCAGTTGGAGAATGCTCACCTCCTACAAATGCATCGCCTGCTCCATTAGTATCAACAACCTTTTCATTTGGGAGTTTTGCAGCAGGAAACTCCATTATAGTATTATCTTTAACAACTAATATGCTATCAGGACCTTGTGTTATTATAACAATTCTCTGCCTTTTCTTATTCAATTTTTCCACTTGTGATAATTTTAATGCAATTTCTCTTCTATTTGTAGTTTGAAAATCATTTACCTTTGCAAATGTATCAGCTTCCACTTCATTACCAAATAAGATATCTACATAAGGAAGAGCTTCTAACATTGGTTTTTTGTAATACATACATAAAAATGGTGCACTTAGATTCATTATAAACATTTTATTTTTTTCTAAAGCATGTTTAGCAACTACCTGAATAGTTTCTGGGCTTACAGTTAAGAAAAAACCCTGAAATTTAACATATTATGCTTAATATTATACCTAAATTTAATCAAACCTAAGGATTAATAGATTTAGATTGATACATACAGAAACATAAATATATTCTGCCATTTCTATAAGCTTCTTATTTTCAGATTCTTCTATGTGTGAAGGTGAAAAGCAGGTAGCTGCAGCTAAATTGGCACATAAGGAACGTTCATTTCCAGTAATAAGAACAGCACAGGTACCAGTAGGCTCTTTCTTTGTATATTGATAACGAATATTTAAGCCATCCGCTTGTGCTTTATCTTCCAAAATTTTTGAGTACTTATCCATTCCAACGCAGCCCATATAAGTTGCAATTCTTGGTTTGTCCAGGAACCACTACAGCATAGTTAATATTTGATATTTCTGTTAACTTAACATAACATATAATAACGTAAATGGTTTACTTGTGTTACTCGCATGGTATTTTGTACAGAACCACCGGCGATAAAATCTGCTTTGTACAGTTCAATTAATTCATCATATATAGGCTTGTGTTTTTCTTCAGCAAGAATTGCATCATTTGATTTTAAATCATATTTTTTTAAAAAATCCCTATCTACTGTAGCTGAAATATCAAGAAGAGGATTACCCAAGCCTAGTAGAAGACCCTCCCTGAAATATTTTAAAATTGTTATCTCAAATACATGTATAAAGTCTATTTTGGTGAAATCTATTGTGAATATTCTACCTTTAAAATAAATCAATACATGAAAATATTATTTTCTTCTCTTTATTTATCTTCTTATTCTTTCTTTATATATTTAAATAAGAATTTATACATTAAAAAAAAAAAACTGCATTAAAAGACTATTTTATAACCTGAATGTTTTTTTTCACAATATTCCTGTTACAAATTTACAGTATTACAAATTACAAACAAATTACAGACAATGTATGTGAATATATAAAAAAAACATTATAATTCTTGATATTTATTAAAAAAAAAAAAAAAAAAATTCATATTTCATTTTCAATGATTCACAATCATGTGAGCACATGATCAACCAAACCATGCATATAAAACCTAACCCTCAGCATTTTAACATAACCTCAAACATATGATAAATTGAAATATCGACTATAAATGATAAATAAAAAATATTTTCAATATTAAATTGTCATACCGTAAGTCCATCGCCATTTGTTAAGATTTTCGTGTAATTTATTGTAAATTAATATACATGAATATCGACGATACGCCACTACACTGTGGCGGAAATATGTTACTTGCTATTGCGAAGTTCAACGAAATCACGTGCACTCAAAACTGTTTATATTGAAATGTTATCTTTATTGCTAACGTTTCATACGTTATCTTAACATTTTTATTTCATAAATGCAGCAAATACTAAAAATTCAAGAATTTAAAATGATCACATTAATTTCTGTTCAAATAATTACCAACAATCAAACGTATTATAATTTTTCTCGTAATTTTCCATCACGTTTAAACGTACATGGAAAAATATTTCATTATCATCACCTCATAAACTTATATAACAGTTGTTTAATATAACTACATATTACTGATGCACAAGTGCATACAACATATCGTTTACCGTATTGTACAATACGTAATGAAAAAAAGAAAATTATATGTTATCTTTGATATACGTAATATCTCCGAAAAAGATATATTATATTTAATAGTATAATTTTGCAGTTTTATATTTAGAATGTAATTTACACTTAAAATAATTTACTTGCATCATTAATAAACAGATTACATACGTATCATGTTTTTTTAATTTCTTAAGTTATACATATCTATTGTACATTATTAAATTCGATAAAAGAATCTTTTTTTTTTCTTTTTCGTTTCTTCTTATATCCTGATAGTATTTTATATACGTTGGTTATTTAAATTAGCGTTATATTACTTACCACCAAATTTTATATTTTAACATTCAATACACTAATTTGCATCAGGTAAGGTATCATGTATCTTCGTAATTAATTTCTATTATTAATCATTTAGTAATTCATTAATCATTGTATTAATACATAATATGTTTATATACACATGTTTTTATTGTAGTCGTATAATAAAAAAGGACGGGAAGAATTCGAAAAATTCGAACAATTTATGTTATCGAATATCACATTGAAGACCAGCAAAAAAAAAGCATGGCGATAAAACAGCGTATTTGTTGAACAATTAAACACGCTGACTGCTGCATTAAAATATCTATAATGCAAAAAGGAATAATAAGGGCGGGGGGAGTGTAGAGATTTTACTTCCTTACGATACCTTCTTCTCGTGCTTCCATACAATCAAGAAAAGTCTTAAGAAATCCAGTGTGTTAGTACGATACATAGAAGAGTGTCGGGGATGAACGAGTTTGCCGAGAATCGCCATATCCAATGCTATCTTAGATGCTGGACACCTACATTCGCATAAGAGTTCTCCGTACCGTAGTTGTTTTTTAATGTACATGCGCATATACTTTGCTGCACCTCCTAAGAAAGAAAACATGACTCTCAAAAAGTTCGACAAACAAAAAAAAAAAAGTATGAATTTTTAATGCTTTCAGAGAAGAGAACACGTGTATTTGCGTTTTTTTTTTTTTTTTGTTTTACTTGCATTTTTCACACGGATCAGAATGATACAGAGTGAACTTGCCTTGATACACTGTGGTTTACACCCAATAATACTTGTCCAAAGTGGGGTGTCTGCGGTGCCCATATCCATCATCATCATCATCATCATCATCATCATTCACCACCACTTTTGTCAGTCATGGCGTGCCTTTGTCAATGAAATACAGAAGTTGTCCTGGTCGACAATTACATTTCACTTCATAGAGGATACGGTTGCTGCACTATTCTCTTTATCTTACTCTCACTTTCTCTCTTTCTCTTTCTATCTTTCTCTCTCTCTCTCTCTCTCTCTCTCTCTCTTTTTCCCTCCATT